ACTAGGGAGAGAATCGAGGTGTGTGTGTGTGGAAAGCGGAGAATAAATTAACGAAAGAAAATGGCAAACGAGCCTCGTCAGCTGGGCAGCTGGACTTCCCTGGGCCGGAGGAAGCGCCGAGTCCCCCTGGCCCCGAGAAAGGGGCAGCCCTCGGCTCACTTTTCCTCTTTTATACAAAATATTTACATGTTTGCTTTAAGTCAATATAAATTAAAAATAAAGGAAAACGAAACAGTGCAGTAAACCCATCCCCAAGTGAGCTCTGGAGCAGGGCGGCCGGTGGGTCTTGGCCCGAAGGAGCGTTTCCCAGCCGGACGCTTGGAAGCCCCTCCAGAAGGCAGAGTTCCACTCTGGCCCAGAGGCTGTGGGCCTGACCCCCCCCCCCTGCCCCCCCCAGCCCTTCCACGGGTGGATGGTGGGCAATAAATAGGGAAAACGGATAGTGAAACGTAAAAGCTTCAACTGAAATGCCTCCGGGGGTCTCCGCTGCCTTTTTTTACATTCAGAACAACCATTCAAGTCAAAAGGAAGGAAAGTCCCGTGTTGTGGAGCAAGGGACAGATTCGTACTTCGGACCGTTGGAGCAGCCGCCGCCGCAGAGCGAGGCACAATGGGCCTAGGCAGAGTCCGGAAGCCCCCAGCCCCCTTCCCCCCAGGCCCATTGCCTTGATTCACAGTTTGCTCCCTCCCACTGAGCAGCTTCCTTCAGCTTGGCCCCCCTGATCTGCTCTTGCCAAGGGACCCACCGGGCAGAGGGAGGGAGGGGTAAGACCTGGGCACACAAGTCCTTTGACCCCCCTTCCCCCCCTCCGAAGCTCCACTGACAGTAAGTGGGGTGTAAACACTGTAGAAGACCATTTCTCTCCCCCCCCCCCTTTAAATGCAACCATAAATAATTGGAATAAATATACATCAAGTCACTGGTACAGCACACACACTTGGGGGCCCAGAATGAGCGTCACTCCGGACTCCCTGCCGGCCTCGGGGAGGGGGAGGGAGCATCCGCCGAGGGGGCCACTGGAAGGTATCTGTGAGGTATTTGAACAAGAAGCCCCCTGAGGAGAAAAGGGGGGGGGGTTCCGATCCATAAGCCCCCTCCCCCAAATCTCTGGAAAACAGGCTGATCTTTTGTGGATTAGAACCTGTGTTCTAACTGGGATTCTCTAGGAGGAGCTAATAGGTGCCCCCCACCTCTCCTTCGGCCAAACACAAGGGGGGGCCAAGGCTCAAAGGGGTGACTGCGCAAGGGGGCGCCCTTCCACCTCGACTCCCCGCCCTAGCAACCGCCACCCCGCGTCTTCCCCATCGTCGCCAACCTCCATCCGCACGTCACTCAGGCCAAAGAAGGAAGAGTATTCACAGAAATATACACTACATACAGCTCCCCCCCCCCGTGCCCACCGACAAGCGGGACGAGGGAGGGGCTCCCGGGTTGCCTTTGGAGAGGACAGCGTGCAACATCCTGGCTTTGGGGGGGGGCAGAGGGGGGGGAGAAGGAAGCCAGCTGTTGAGTGCCGTGTCTCCCAGATAGCACAGGGGCCCTCGGAGTCTCGAGCTCGAAAGCAACCCCAAAACGGCTCGTTCCGGCACTCTTTCCGCTAGAGGTTTGACGGCGGTGCCTTGGCGGGTCCTTCAAAATCAAGACGCGCCTGGCGAGGGCACCGGAGCTCCCTGGGCACCCGTCTAAGAGCCAGAAAGCCAGGGGGATTCCCTTCTGTCTTTGTTTGCCAAGGAAGAACCGGGGATCCTCCTCTCTAAAGGCAACAGGCAAATGGGGAGCTTGGAAGGGCCATTTCTGAGCGCAAGGCGGAACCAAGTGGATCGGAGCCGATTAAGCGGGTGATCCCTTTCCCCCCCTTCCCCCTCCCCTTTCTTTAGACCCTCGCAATTTAGGCTTCAGGCAGACAGGGAGGGATCGTCCTTTATCGCCCTACAGTGGAATGTGTGAAGTTGCCACCTCTGCTTCCAACCAACCCTGGCCAAAAAAAGTGTGTGTGTGTGTGTGTGCAGGGGGGGGGGAATGCGACTTCTGCTCTACTGAGTTACGTTAAGCCCCGATTCCCCCCCGCCCCCAAAAAACAACAACGAAGTGTGGTTGCTTCACCGATGCACTCAGAAACGGTGGCGGAAGGCCTCCCCCTTACACGGCCGATCCCCGAGTCTCCCTTCCGATGAGGACAAAATGGGGGGGGGGGATCCCCCAGGATTGCAAACCTTGTTCCCCAGACTAAGTTTCCTATAAGGCAGCAGCAGCAGCAGCAACAGCGTCAGACGGTTCCATCCACCCCCGAGGTCTACGGGGAGGAGGAGGTCTTCCACGCAGGCCGTCGCAAGAGGACCAGATTCCCCTGCCGCTCTTGCCTGGCCATCGCTTGGCTTCTCCGGCGCGTCCTCCGAAGGGCCGACCCCCGGAGGGGAGGGGGAGCAGGTCAACCGCTGAGAGGGTCCTCGCGATAGTGGATGGCGTACCGGAGCTTCTCCAGCATGGTCTCCAACGAGGAATACTGAGGGAGTTTGATCATGAACATGCAGGTCTCCACGCGGATGTGGCGGGAATCCGGGGAGCCTGTGGGGGTCACAGGAAGGGGAGAGGCTCAGCGCCTGCTACTGTAGGAGGGGGCTTTCTCCCTCGCACACAGATCCCTCCTCCTCCTCCTCTCCCAGCTATCTGGTTTCAGGCACCGTATTTTCCGGAGTATAAGACGCACCAAGATTTTGAAGAGGCAAATTTTTGATAAAAAGGTTTTGCACTATGCAGAACTCCCAAAAATGGACCGTTTTTCATCAAAAAAGGGCATGCATAGCCTTTCGGAGGCTTATAGAGTGCTCCTGGGGGCTGGGGGAGGGGGAACCAGCCCATTTTTCGCTCATTTCTGCCCTCCCCAGCCCCCAGGAGTACTCTGGAAGCCTCCTAAAAGCTCTACACGGCCATTTTGGTGAAGGGGGTGGAGTTTCGGGAGGCTAAAAATGCTGCATTCTGTGTATAAGACGCCCCCAGATTTTCAGCCTCTTTTTTGAGGGAGAAAGGTGCGTCTTATACTCCAAAAAATACAGTAACAGCTGGCCCATGTTGTTGCGTTTCAAATGACAAGGAAGGACGAAAGTCACACTGGCGTTCTACACCAAGCAGGCGTTAAGCCCCGCTTAATTGTTACAAGGGCCAAACCGACATCCGGGCCCTCCGTCTTCTCGAGATAACCCCGTGGTTGGGCTCAGCCTCCCCCAATTTCCCTTTCTGCCGAGAGACCCCCTGTGCGCCAGGAAAACAAGGGTACCTGAAGTGCCATCCGGGGGCGCGATTTTCATGGGGTAGGGCGGCACGTGGGCTGTGTCCGGACCCCCGTCCTTGCAGGGACAGGTGAAGGGGATGCGCTCCTGGTTGCAGGCGAACTTGATGAATTTGCACAGCTCCTCCTGGGTGAACATCTCCAAGGCCCCCCAGAAAAATTCAATATGCTGGTCGGTCTCCATCAGCCCAACTTGGTACATGGTGTGTGCCTGCAGGCGGCCCAGGGGGAAAGACAGGAGGAGGGAAGGAAGGGAAGCTGGTTAAGGGACCGGGAAACACTCTGAACCAGGCCCTCTCTCCTCTCTTGGCCACTTGGAGACTCCCAGAGTTGAACAGCCCACAAGTCTTAAAGGCGCCAAGGTTGGAGACCCTCCTCAAGACCACCCTGGAGCTCCTAAGCCTCACTTTTCTGTTTCTATTCAACCTCAGTGTGAGTTTTCTCCGCTGTGGCCTACATCTAAGCCAGCTCTTGTTTCGGTCTCGGCTCTCCTGCGAAAATCTCGCTGTGACGGAAGACGGATGGCAGGAAAGGAGGATGAGCAGCTGCTGTCTTCTTGGGGCCCTTAAAGGTCTTCTTGGACCCTCCCTGCTCCCCTCAAATTACCTTGAGGAATTCCAGGTTGATGTAGGGGAGCCCACAAGTCCTCAGCTCCAACTCCAGGGGGGTCAGCAAGGTCAAAATCTGCAGCGGGATGATGGTGGCCAAGCCGGCCCGCACGGCCATCACGCACTCAGCGGTCTGCAGCTCGTGAAGCCTCAGGTTGCGAATGGCCGCGGCGTAGACGTCCTTGTTCTCCCACCTGGGAAGGAAGGAAGGAAGGAAGGAAGGATGGGTTCAGGGGTGGGAAGCCCCGCGTGGCTTGTCTCCCACATAACGCTTGGCCTTCTCCCTCCCCTTCGGGTTACTTCAAAGGGAGGGGGCTCCTCCTGAGCCTTGCCAGGCTTAGCCGCGAAGGAGAGGCTAAGGGCGTCAAGACTCTAAGGCTGGGCCATGTTAGCACTCGGCTGCCTTCAAAGGCACCTCGGCTGACAGGACGAGAACCTTTAGAGTCGGTTTAATGTCAGGTTCCAAGTAATGCACCCCTAGCCAGCAAAACTCCGAGGCAGGTAGATACCTCAAAGAATAACGGGGTTCCCCCCCCTCTTTTATAAAGAGTTTTATTATTTTTCAATTGCAGAAATAAACACTCCATCTTTCCTTACGCAGGGTGTCGTCTGGGTGCAAACATCTCTGTGCGACATTGTTCCTCTTTTGCCACGTCTTTCACGCTGATATTAACATTATTTCCCTAAGCTTAGTATTATAATGCATTGAGCATTTAAACGTTATAAAACTCTCCATTTTTCTTCTTACTATCTTCCAGTAATAATATATCAACACCGATAAACATCATTATTCTC